AGACCTTAGGTGGATCTGCAGTGACTTCACCCTTGGTAGGCTCAAACCATCGACCATGTTGGCGTTTCTCCCAATAACCACGTGCCTCTCCTCTGTGTAGATCCAGGGTTGAAGAGACTTCGGATCTGGAAAATTCATCCACTTGGCGCAAACTAGAGACCTTGGCAACCGACACTTCATGTAGATCACGTGTATTATCGACTGGATCTAGAGACCATCCTGTACAGCGGCGAGCGATTTTGCATGCTGCTTCCGCGGGGGAACTGTTGGATATCCTGAAAGGCAATTACGCCGCTCTTGATTACCCCAAGATCATCGGCGATCTCCAAGCTGACAACCAAGCTGTTCAGGAGGAGAACCGCGCATTGACTCGGCGACTGGACTCGCTTGCTCTCAGTAATGTCGACTTGTCAACTCAGCTCTCGTCGGCTCAACAGCAAGTGTCTCGATTGGAGGCTGCTGCCAAGCAATCGGCTAATCTCCTCGCGTCGCTGCGGAAGGCTGTAGCTCTGAGTGAGGCGAAACTTGCTCGGGCCATCGCAGCTGAGCAGAGCAAGGTCGACGCTGCGTTGAGTCAGGCCCAGCTCCACCATCAGCAAGTCTTGGATCGGGACGCCGAGATCGACGTCCTTCTTCGATCCATTTCTGAGAGGGATGCGGCGTTCGTTACTCTTCAGGGCATCGCTTCCAAACACTTCGAACAGCTGCAGGAGTCGGTGCGGTTGTACAGTTCCACCGGTACTCAACCCTTGCGGCACGCTCAGTCGGTGATCGCTGAGCAGCGAGCGGTGATCTTGCGACAGAAGCGGCTCATCCGTCGGAATGGTATTATTCCGATGCACGATCCTCACATGGCTGCTGCTGCTGGCGGTGGCTTGCAAGTTCCTGGGCTTGATCCGTCCGACCTTCTCCTCAATGCCCGACTGTGTCGTGTCTTGGAGTCTCGCTTTCCTGAGGTTCTCAACATTCCCGCTGGTGAAACTCGGCGGTTGGAGTTGATTGTCCATCCTCGCCGAGATGCTCCAGTGGCGAGTTCCGTTATTGGTCCTGGTGTGGTTCCCTCAGCTAGTCAAGGGTCTTCGACGACTTCATTGGCAGACTCGGCTACGGCTCCAGTCAGCTCGGCGGCGGTAACCACTCAGGCTGAGCCGACTCTTGCTCAGCTTCACCGTACGCCTTTGGCAACTTGACCTCGACTCAGCA